TATTACTATTACTTTATTATTATTGTTATTACTATTACTATTATCATTATTATTATTATTATTATTATTACTATTATTATTACTGTTATTATTATTATTATTATCATTATTATTATTACCATTATTATTGTTATTTATTATTGCTACTATTACTATTATTACTTATTATCATTTATCATTATTTATTATTACTCATTATTATTTACTATTATTATTTACTGTTATTATTACTATTATTATTGTTATTATTATTATTATTATAACTATTACCATTAATTATTATTATTATTATTATTATTATTATTACGACCGCTATTATTATTATCATTATTATTCTGTGATACTCGAATTAGGAAAACAGACGACACAAAAAGTAGATGGACTATTATAATTCTATCATTCGATACAGCTATTCTTTTTCCTTTGTTTTATCGCTATAACTCGTAACGAGATAAAAACAGTGCATTCATGAGTAAAAAGCTTACAGAGACGGCAAATATCATTCAAATCCCTAACACCACGGGAAGTGAAATACTTAGGATTCTCACGCATAATGAAAAAAACAAGGAATTACGGTAACAACGGGTACGGTATCGGGTAACAAAAAAAATGTGGATGCATTTAGTAGCAGAGAGGAAGGTTATGAAGTGAAAGTCGGATAAATTAAGAATGAAATATGCAGTTCATATATTCCGTAAGAAAAGAGAGAAAGAGAGCAATGGAAGCAAAAGAAACGTGAATACACACGCGGACATTTGTTAGGCTGGCCCAGAGATTAAGGAAAATACAACAGAGACAAATACATAAGTATACGAAATAATGGCCAAGATCCTATTTGTAAGTAGCCAAGGGAGCCTTATTGGGACAAATATGGAAAGCGTTCCTTCACCATCTTAAGAGCCTAATGTATTTAAACAAAGCAGGCAAATGAAGTAATCGATGTAAGCTATTATGTAACAGTAACCAAGTAAAGCGTGCTTATCACAAAATGAGCAGACACATATACATATACACACACATACACTCACATACATAAACATACACGCACATACACATACATACAGACATTGTTAGTTGGAGGCCCTCTTTGTGGGATGATCGATTGTTGGGGTGGTTGGTAGGAAAGAGCCGAAGATGGTTTGGAGAGAGGATTTAGTATTAGCAAGAACAGCTATATACATAGCTTATGTCATCGATAAGAATTTCTTTAGAGTGTTGTAGTAATAGCTTATCATCATCCATCGGTGTCGCTAGTATTATCCGGAAAGAATTCGATTATAACTGGAAGATTAGCCAATTAAACGGATAACTATCATGATGCTGAGATGATGATGACAATTGAGAGGATAATGATGAGAATATCTAGGATATCATATTTATGATTGGTCTGAAGATTCTCGACGATGTCATCAAACCTTTTTTGTGACATCATGAAATAATATGTCTAGCGCGGATTATTATTGAATTATGTTATTAAAATATCTCGTTTCATTCCTTCTATACTTCTGTCCACTATTCATCTAGTCATTATAGTTTATCTCATGAAGAGGGGGGGGGGGGAAGGGGGCATATCTTTGTTTGATTATAATAGGATAAGTTGAATCATCATGAAATTAAGGGGAATTAAAATTAAACAATTTTAATCCATCAAGCTAATATTGAGATCGTCAAACTATCAGTAAACTATCTGAATCATCCCAATGGCTATAATTTATCTTCTAGAAAATTGATTACATGGATGGATAATTGTCATCCCATAAGGTAGAGAAAGATGGAGGCG